CGCCGATTTCCCCCCCGGGCTGGGTGTAATCTGTTACGCAGACGATACCCTGGTGACAGCCCGGGGGGCAAACTTCCAAGAGGCGGCGCGCCTGGCCACAGGGGGAGTCTCCCTGGTGGTCGGGCGCATTGAGGCGCTGGGCTTACGGGTGGCCCTAGATAAGACGGAGGCCCTGTTATTTCATGGGCCCCGTCGTGGTCCACCCCCTTGCGCCTCAATCGTGGTCAACTCGGTCCTCGTACCGGTTCGGGCCCAGATGAAATATCTGGGCCTGATCCTCGACGGGAGGTGGCTCTTCGACGAGCACTTCCGACAGCTTGCTCCAAAGCTGGTCGGCGCTGCGTCTGCCCTAGGGCGACTTTTGCCCAATATGGGTGGACCCAGCGTCGCGACAAGACGGCTGTACACGGGGGTTGTCCGGTCAATGGCACTGTACGGTGCACCGGTGTGGGCGGCGGCTCTGACCGCCCAGAATAGGGTACGCCTCTGGCGCCCTCAGAGGGTAATGGCGGTCAGAGCCATACGCGGTTACCGCACCGTTTCGACAGAGGTGGCATGCGCGTTGGCCGGAACTCCCCCGTGGGATTTGGAGGCGGAGGTGCTCGCCGAAGTTTATCGGCGAGTGGCTGACTCCCGGGCGGAGAGCGGATTTCGCCCTCCGCCCGAGGATGTGCGCGAGTAGCGCGAAGCCGCTCGCCGAGCCACGATGGCTCGTTGGTCGTTCTGGCTTCGCTGGCTCTCCAGCCGGTCATCGCCGAGTGGGCAGGGCGGCAGCACGGGACCCTTTCCTTCCGGCTGACGCAGGTGCTTGCCGGGCACGGTTGCTTCGGAAAGTACCTGCACTCGGTCGCTGGGAGGGAACTGGGTCCCGCCTGCCACCACTGCGACTGTAGTGAGGACTCGGCCCAGCACACGCTGGCCGTCTGCCCCGCATGGGCGGCGCAGCGCCGGGCCCTCACTGCAGTCATCGGAGTGGATCTCTCGCTACCGGCCGTAGTACGCTCCATGGCCGGTAGCGACAGTTGTTTTACCGCGGTCGCAACCTTCTGCGAGGTAGTAATCTCGCGGAAGGAGGCGGCGGAGAGGGCCCGGGAGGACGACCTCCACTCGGACCCGATCCGCCGCCGGCGAACCGGGCGGCGGAGGCCCGCCTATCACAGCCTCATGCCGCCCTGAGTGTGGCCGCGGGTGGACGGGGTGGGTTTCCCCTCCACCCGCATTAGTTTGGCCAGCCGCGAGGGGGCGGCGTCCGCGTGTGCCGGACGTCGCCTATAAAGAGAGGAAAAACACTGAGACGGAGCCCGCACCAGGAGCGGGCTGGCGCTAGGAGGGGTCCGGATGTCTTAACAACAGCTGTTCCCGGATCCCTCCTGTTACAGGCGCAGAGTGGCACACCGTGTGGTTTTAGTCGGTCCGAGTCCGACACACCACCCCGCCGCAAACCCCGGAGGGGTGACGGTCCGAAGGGATTTCCACACGTTAAAAAAAAAAAAAAAAAAAAAAAAGGAAACCGTGCTTTAGCACAAATGGGCTGGCTCGACCGTAGTAATACCATGGCCTCACAGAAAACTACTGTTAAGCTATTCTTTCGTCGCTTCTAGCCCCAATGCAACTCTCCCCCCTCTCTTTTTCTGGTTCTGGGTGAGTGCACTTCAGAGGGTGACAATGCACTTCTGACTCTTGACTTACAGGTGTCCATGAGCGACGGTACACGGACTTAATATCAGGTGATCCACTTCCATTAAAAATAGTTTTCCAGTTTCGAATAACGGCAATTACATAGTAGGTTCCATAGTAGGGCATTCAACCAAGAAAATAAATCCAGCTTCATATAAGTACCTATAGATATTTGTATCAAAGATATTCATGACTTAATGAATATACACGTTACAAAACTATCCAGTATTAGGTTATTAGTTAACCGTAGGCCGTGTGGCCTAACACCTTAGCCAATAACACTATAAGTTAGGTAAATTTATCATAGACTAAAGTTGTGTAGAAAATTGTTTAGTTGGCGGGAATTTCTAAAACTTATGGTTATTCAAAGACAGACCTGGTATACTCTCTAATTTTTTGTACACGTTTAACGGAAATGGTTTTAGTTAGTTTAATACCTATTACCATTTCCTTAGGTTAACTAATAATTCAAATGATTAACTTTTTTTAAATGCTACAGATTTCAATGATCCTCCAACATAATAAATTATGTATCGATAAATTATAGATTGTATTTAATAGTCCGGATGGCGTAGTGGTTTGTGTAACGGACTGCTATTCCAAAGGTCGCGGGTTCGATTCCCGCTCAAGACAAACATTTGTGTGCATGAACTTTTAATGTTTGACTTGGTCTGGGTGTTTTTATGTATAATTAGTACCTATGTATTTACAAAAAAAAAGTATAAATGTAGGTATTTTACAAGCTCTGCTTAGTTGGCGTACTTAGTACTAGATGGCGTTGTGTTAATGTGGTAGAATATTATTATTATTAAATTGTAGTACACTATGGTCTTCATTCCTAAATTTACCAATCTTAGGGGTTGTATTTTTTCTCCAAAGAAAAAAGAATTTTCCAAATGGTACATAAATGACGGAGCTATAAAAACAGACAAATAAAACACAAACTCGAGATGAATATATCCTCCTTTGTTGAAGTCGGTTAAAATTCCTTCGTCTACATCATTGACATCTAAACATTCTTACTTTTAATAGTGTTATTTATTCTGTGTTCTCGACATGTAAGAACAATTTTTTGCACTGGGCAACTGTGTTACTCAATTTAGGCAAACATTTAATTGCACTTGAACTAAGTGCTTACCTTGATAATTGTGATCAACGCAAATGGTTAAAAGTAAATAAACCAATTAGTAAAAATAACAATACATAAACAACAATAAATGTCTTAAAAGACAGTAATGGCATTAAATTATGTCTTCAATAGGCAATATTGGTTATTAGCTTTTGCCCGTGGCTTCCCTTTTCGTCTATAAATAATCTATCTATATTTTTATTTCGGAAGAATGGTCAATTCATCATCATCAACAGCCTATAACAGCTCACTGCTGGACATAGGCATCTCCTTATAAAGGAGGTTTTGGCCTACTATACCACGCTGGCCAGACGGGTTGATATAGGGTTTGTTTCAAGTTTTCCTTCTCTTTGCAGTGCTGTTGCCCTGCGTAGTTTGCTCTGCTTGATGAATAGGGGTGGTGACATTCCGTATTCTTAATCCGTCACCACAAGGACTTTACACACACAACTACATTTGGCAATTGATTCCAGAAACCGACGAAATAATATATACAAGTTTAGTTGCTCATGGAATCCTTGTCCGTACTCGAATCAGACTCGTACGCCATGATCGCGTCAGTAACTAAACCGTAAAAGTTTAGCAATCAAACCAACAAACTCCATTCATGTTAATAATATTAGGAAAGATATAAATGTTATTAAGGTACATGTAAAATACTAGCAGACTTGACCAGTAACATTTAAATCAATTCTAAATCTTTTAATAACTCAATCAGACGAGACCTTGTCATATTTTGAATGCCAGTAGACGGTTAGGAGGTAACTTTAAAAAGTAGTCTGGACTACTTTTGTACAAAATGAGTAGACATTTAATATACACATACCTATACGTACCTTATATAACACAGACTATATATAAAAAAGTAGTAAGCATCAGATTACTAGATATTTCCAGCTGTAATTTTTTTTGCGCTAATAAAAGATTTCGGCAAAGCGTTCGAAATGATTCGTTAAGACATACTTTTTGATAAACTAGCAAATAATGGCACTCAAGGACCTCTTATGAGCTCTAAGCCTTATTAGAAGACTAACATATGGTTCGCTACCGGAGTGATATCACGGCCTGAAAGAAAACCTCTATTAAGCAATATTTTTACTGTTAATATCCGTGTGGTGACGGATTAAGAATACGGAGTGTCATCCCGTGGGTGACGTAAGAGCCGACTAAGGGAGCTAACTACGCAGCTCAACAGAACTGTAAATAGAAGAAATTTTTGACAAAAAACCCTATATCAATCTGTCTGGCTAGCGTGGTACAGTAGGTCAAAACCTCCTTTCTAAGGAGAGGCCTATGTCCAGCAGTGGACTATTGAAGGCTGTTTATGTGATGATGATGTGATGTGAGACAATTCTTTCGTTATTTTTCACCGAGTTGGGTTATAGAAAACTATGGTAACCAGACCCTGATAAACATTTTTTTTATGTAAGAGGGGGCAGACGAGCAAACCGGTTACCTGATGGAAAGTGACTACCGCCACCCATGAACGCCTGCAAATCAGGGGTTACAAACGCGTTGCCGGCCTTTTAGGAAGGCGTACGCTCTTTTCTTGAAGATTCGAAGGTCGTATCGGTCCGGAAATACCGCAGACGATAACTTGTTCCACAGATTGGTTGTGCGAGGTAAAAAGTGTCTTGAAAAGCGCACAGTGGTGAAGCACCAATTATCCAAGGGTAGAAAATTTTGGGTATGTATACTTATATGTTACTTAATACATACATGTCATTGATAAAATACACCCAGACACACAACAAATGATCGTGCCACTCACACAATTGCTTGTCCTGGGTGGGAATCGATCCCACGACCCTTGACTTAGCAGGCAAGGCTATAAAAATAGTTAAAAAAAATGGCATCAAGGAGGCGACCGTCATTAAAAGAATGCGTTCAAAACATTTTATATTGTTACATATTGCAGCGACCCCTAATTGGGAAAATAATGATGACCTTCTACGGAAATTTGCATCCATTTGAAAAACAATCATTTTAAAGATTTATAATCGAGTTACAAGAATAGTTGAACAATCGTGAGTTGAATTCTTCGTCATTCCGTATCGTGCGAGAGCGTCGAACGCTCGTGTTGTATTCAAATTTAGAGCACTACGTATTCGATTACGAGAATTTGTATTCTTGTTGACGTTTTGTCAATGTTGTAACTTTTTTCTCTGGTGCGTGTAAAAGTGTTATAAAAAAAATGTTGAGATTTTTGGTAAGTATTTTTTTTTGTTTATTTTATAGATTATAATAAATTACAGTTTATATTTAACTGTTTAAGATCAATACTATATATTTAGGTACTTTACAGTACAGACGCCCCCGCTATTTTTACTAAGTAAAAGACATTGATAAGATTATTGGTCAATATTCAAAATATTGACACATGTATACCACTTCAAAATATTACACTTTCAAGAACTCATAGTCCTAACTGTAAATATCCAGAACACTACACCAAGCGCGAAGATATTCAATCCAAAATGACCATAAGACACAAAAGTATTCAGCAATCCTGTGGGCACTTGGTCATGTCAATAACACTATAAAATAGGCTACCAAACGAAATGAAAATAAGTTCAATACCTTTTGTTAACAAATTAAAAAAAAACTTCTAAAAAGTAAATGTGAATACAGTGTCAAGGAATATCTAGAAGATAAATTATAAATAACTAAAATTACATGTTTATTACTAGTTATTATAAACCCAAAGATACATAAAATTACTAAATATGGCTTTAAAACTTTTTTTAAAAATAAATATTAACTTAATTACACGACAAAGGTAGAAAACTTGACTTTTTAATTGCATTTAATAAATATTACCATATAAATATGCAATAAATTTAAATTAAAGCAAACTAATTTTTATGATGACATTGTACAATAATAAATTTATTAAATTATCAACAACTACACACTGTTATAAATATGCAATTTTAATTTAATATTTAGTTTAATTTATTTATTTGTGGTTAGTGGCCTATGTCCAGCAGTGGACTAGTAAAGGCTGTTGATGGTGATGATGATGATTTATTTCGATCAAAGCAAATAATATTGTATTAAAATAAAACTTGTAAAACTAGCATAGCGGCTCCTCCCCTCTCCTGATAGCGCTGGTGCCCGACAGGGTCCATAATTGTTACCTAGTTTTAAGCCTACCACCTGAAGGTATATAATGGAATGCAATAAATTAAATTGAAATTGAAAGCTTTCTGCTACATTAATTAGTCATATAATCATTATAAGTCATACAATCCCATATTATAAAGCTTATTAAAAATGTATTAATAAATAATTTTCAAATTTTAATAAGTTTAAAAAAAGGGTTGGGTGCCTGTTGTCAATAGTAAAAATCACCCCACGCTTATTTTCAAATTTATTAAAATTTATTTTCTATTTTTTAGTTTGGTTTTCTATAAATAACGGGTTTTTTTTTTAAACTAGTGTATTGTCATCGGTACTCGATATATCTACAAAGTTTGAACGAATCCTGACCGTTTAAAGTCAGTCAAAATCACGCCCAAAAGAGTCGGTTATGAACAAACATACAAACATACAAGTGAAGCTAATATAAAGCGTGTAAAAATAAAAATAAACAACATAACAAGAAGATGAGCTTTTTAAGATCCTTATATTTAAGAATAAATACCTAGCCCTAAATGATAATAATTAATTACTAATCACGATTATTTCCGCATTTATTAAGCTTACTTACCCTTTTAAACACATACCTGACATAAATCATTTTTTGTTGTACACAAGAAAAGGAAATATCTGCCGTTCCTTGACATTTCCAAAATGTACCTACCGTAATTACTCTTTCACCGCGTGTACTTAACTATAAAATAAACACAACATGTCACGTAATGACGGGCCTGTTGGTCTAGTGGTTAGTGACCCTGACTGCTAAACCGGAGGTCGTGGGTTCGATTCCCATCCAGGACAAATATTGTGTGATGATGATCATTTGTTCTGTGTCTGGGTGTAATTTATCTCTAATATGTATGTATTTAAAAATATATAAGTATGTTTATCAGCAGTCTGGTTACCATAGTACAGGCTCTGCCTAGTTTGGGGTCAGACGGCCGTGTGTGAGATCTGTAAGATATATTAAAAACATAACACATATTATTGTTATACTTTATATACAATTTTATTTTTTTGTCCTGACTTTTCTCCTTCTTTTTTTGACTGGTCCGTTGGTCCAGTGATCAATGAGTCTGACTGCGAAGGTCGTGTGTTCGATGTTCGATCCCCACCCAGAAGAAATAGTTGTGTGATTAGTACGATCAAAAAAAGGGTGGTTATGTCGGACTCGAACCAACTAAAACCGCACGCTGTTCGGGTACTAGTTGCCGGGGACGGTTCAACAATTCTGTATTTATAATTTCTACAACGCTTATAGCAACTACAGTATCTTTTATCAACAAGTAATTTTTTTTTTTTTTTTTTAATCTCACACACTCACACACGGCCGTCTGATCCCAAACTAGGCAGAGCCTGTACTATGGTAACCAGACCGCTGATAAACATATGTACTTATATATTTCTAAATATTATAGATAAATTACACCCAGACACAGAACAAATGACCGTGCTCATCACACAATATTTGTCTTGGGTGGGAATCGAACCCACGACCTCCGGTTTAGCAGTCAGGGTCACTAACCACTAGACCGACAGGCCCGCCAGGCAAATTATAACATTAGAAAGTAATTCTTAAATAAAGCTCAGCTCATATTCAAGATAAACATATTAATGAATTTAACATATCTTTAAACGACTTATTTAAAAAAAATGCCTTTATTTAATATGAAACAAACAATATTATTTCGTAAAACGCCAGCAGATGGCGTTGCAACCACATTTCAATTGAAATCAAGTTCTATTTAACATATAAAACTAACCGAATAAATCATAATAATTCTGATAGGCTTTATTCAGAACACTACACAATAATTTGAGTAATTTAAACCTTTTGAAAAACTAATTATCTAACTAACTAATTAATAATCAAATTCCTTCAAACAATGAAAACAGTGTCTATTACAACTACCTGTTACAAATATTTCTAATCACATCACTAAATTTAAAAATAACAGTTTTAAAAGCTTCGCGACCATAAGCACTTGTTACCCTAACAAAAGTTTGCTTAATATTTCCAAAACATATTCGAATTAATTAAAAAATCTAAATTACCGTGAGAGAAGCCATTTTCAAAACTTTGTATCAAATTCAAATGCAATTTTACATAAAATTTCTCAATTTTTTTCGAAATCGTCAAACATAATACTGCATGGATTAAGACCACAGAGTGTCACCACCCCTATTCATCCCGTGGGTGTCGTAAGAGCCTACTGAGGGAAAAAACTACGCAGAACAACAGCACTGCAGAGAGAAGGAAAACTTCACACAAACCCCAAAACCACAAAGGCCAAAACCTCCTTTCTAAGGAGAGGCTTATGTCCAGCAGTGGACTATTAAAGGCTGTTGATGTGATGTGATGAAACATAATAAACGTTATCCAATAACGTGTTAGCAACGGCTTCCGTTATTACCCTTACATAAACGTTTTATTGAAGTTTACGGTTATCCTATAAGCAGCTTTCGTTTTACCATCATATTACGTATTACCATATGAAAATAATCTTTGTAATAACGGAATAGCCAGTGGCGGAATAACCCCAAGGTAAAAGGCACATGCCTAGGTGCGCGAGGTTACAAAGGGTCGCGCGCGCAGATTTTTTTAAGAAAGAAAAAAATATAATATTCTTAACATAAAAAGCACTGTGTCAGTAAGTATGCACATACTTACACAATTACGGGCGCTCATTAGAGTCATCGGAGAGGATTTCTCGTTACCAGCCGTTCCACCCTCCATGGATGGCGCGTGGAGCTCCGGTACCTCCTTCTGCAAGCAAGTTAAGCTTGAAAAGGTGAGGGTGTAGAGAGACCTGAAGATGCTTAGAACTCTCCCGGTCTGCGAAGCCCAGGAACGGGCCAGGTACTGCAGGCGGCCCAGGTCGCTGAATGCCTTCCATCCTGTATAAGTGCAGGCCTGGGGGTGACAGATGAGGCCATCTTTCACGAAAAAAAAAAACGCAAAATCTTAATAAAAGCTGTTATCGGATCCCCTCTATTTCAGGCGCAGTGTATAGTTTAAGTCGGGTCGATTCCGATACACAGCCCCACCGCAAACCCCGGTGGGGTTTTAGACCATGGCGGTTTCCACACGTAAAACAAAAAGTTCTAGTAAAGAAATCACAACTAAAATTTGTAGTCATCACTATTACACATTTAGTAACGTCAACTAGGAGCTAACAACAATTTTTTTTTAGAGTTTTGACACTATTTAATAAACGTTTAACTGTCGGGGTAATTGTGCGCAGAAGAGAAAATATATTACATGACACTAAAACTATATATTTTGTTATTACTCTAATGTTTGTTGCTTCATACTTTATTAGTTTTCAGTTCATGTATCAACATGAAATTGTCCATACAACTCCATACAGATAAATTAATGTTTTCAAAGGATGGAAGAATGCGCCTGCACGGATGGCGTAGTGGTTTAAGCGGTCGCCACGCCGCTTACTACTACGCTGAGTGTTGTGGGTCCGATCCCCACATGGGACGACACTTTGTGTGATCCACAAATTGTTGTTCTGAGTCTGGGTGTTCTTTGTGTCTGTTTCATGTATGTTTGTAAAGTCCCCCGCGACATAGGATATATTCCTAATGCGGGAGTTGTCTTTTTTAAATAAATGAAAATAAATATTTTAACCCGAGCGAAGCCTCGGGCTAAGTTATTAAATATTAATAATAATAACGAATAGTAACATATCACACCTTGAACTAGATAGCGCCGAAAGTTTGACCATTTCGATGTGGACGTCCCCCATAAAGCAATTAAACGTAAAAAACAGTACAGAGATGTTCGGAGGTTACCTAGTTACGAAATGTTATTGATCTGTTTAAAATCATTTTGAATAACGTTTCGCCTGTAGCGTTATTTCTAACGTAATAACGTACGGATCTGTAATTTCAGTTTTAGAACGTAGTTATATCTTAAGGTTGTCAACAATTAAGATTTTAATAAGGACAAAGTACAAAACACATCATACAATACGAGAAAGATTGCCTCATCCATATTTTATATTTAACAGTCCACTACTGGACATAGGCCTCTCCTTAGAAAGGAGGTTTTGGTCTACTATATCACGCTGGCCAGACGGGTTGGTATAGGGTTTGTGTCAAGTTTTCCTTCTCTCTGCGGTGCTGTTGTCCTGCGTAGTTTGGTCACTTAGCCACCTCTTACGACACCCACGTTATGAATAGGAGTGGTGACACTCTGTATTCTTAATCCGTCACCACACGGACATATATTTCATATACCCACCCACAATTTCATTATATTTATTTCTTGATATTCTTGCTACAGTTACAAAAATTTGTGTACAACATTTGTGTACACACATTTTTTTGTGACTAATATAATCATTATTCACAGGGTTAAGTTTCTCAATCACAATGCTTTATATACCCGTAATGATGCTGTAACCACCACCTTCACACACCACAATGGTCCATTTCGCCCAATTCTTCTGATGCGATACATATCAGTACACATCTTGTAGTGATGTAACATTGGAACAATTGATGATTATAACAAGCTTAGCCTCGCCCTTATTTTGTTTTTACTCGGTTTAAGTAACTATTCTTTGAATTGCTTGTCTTTCTCTAATAACTAACTACTGTTTGACAGGCTTTTTGGTTTAATTGTATACAAGGATAGGCCCCTAATAGGCTACAAGTGCAAATAAACTATAGTCCATCAACGTCGTGCGCGACCGTCCTGCGGGGTGACAGACGGTGGCGGGGACGAGGTACTCAAGATCTCAGCGGGTAGCGGGTGGTGTAGCGAGGAAGGGAAACGCGTGTAGCCGTATGCCAGAATGCCGCGCTACCTCGCCCCCGCCACTGTCTGTCACCCCGCGGGACGGTCGCGCACGAGATTGCCGGGTTATAGCCGTGAATGTCCTTATGAAGATCATAGCAACATCTTTGTATTTAACTGCCACCTGGTTTATATCACCACTTATATAGATATATGAACAAATCTTGTTAGTTAATAATAATAAAATAATATTCTACCACATTCACACAACGCCATCTAGTCCCAAACTAAGCAGAGCTTGTACTATGGGTACTAGACAACTGATATAAATACATATATACTTTTTTTTTGTAAATACATACATATCATAAATAGAAACACCCAGACCAAATCAAACATTAAATGTTCATGCACACAAATGTTTCACTTGAGCGGGAATTGAACCCGCGACCTTTGAAATAGTAGTCCGTTACGCAAACCACTACGCCATCCGATCGTAGTTAATTAATACCTACTTCTTTTTGACGTATGACATTGTTGTATCCATGTGATGACGGATTAAAAATACGGAGTGTCTGTCATTACCCCTATTCAACAATTGGGTGTCGTAAGAGCAGGCTAAGGAAGCGAACTACACAGGACAACAGCACTGCAAAGAGAAGGAAAACTTGTCACAAAGCCTATAGCAACCCGTCTGGTGCGGTGAAGACGGTGCAAACTAGCAAACGGGTCTCCTGCTAGAAAGTGGCTACCGCCGTCCATGAACCTCCTTTCTATGTCCAGCAGTGGACTAGTAAAAGGTGTTGATGATTGATTGTCTTATACGTTAATTTGACTTGAATTTAATACTAAAATTCGACCTTTTGTGTCTATACTAAATTCACTTCACTCATCTCATAAACGGCCATCTGACCCCAGGTATCTGATACTAGGCAGAGCCTGTACTATAGTAACCAGACTGCTGATAAACTTAAAAATTACCAAATACATACATATTATAGATAAATTACTTCCAGACACATAACAAATGATCGTGCTCATTATACAATCATTTGTTCTGGGTGGGAATCGAACCCCCCGGCTTAGTAATCATGGTCACTAATTGGACAAACAGGCTAACAGGTGATGCAGGTAAGAGGTGAAGAGTTCCACACTCTTCAGGGGCTAAATGTAAACTCTTTGGTTATTTATATGTCTCACTAAAAACATACAGTTGACGGGCCTAATAACCCTGACTGCTAAGACGGATGATCTGGGTCATATCTTCATCTGACCCAGATTCATTGCTCTTGAGTGTAAAGGCCAATTGTATTAACAACCGAGTACTTGTTACTTACATCAACAAATTTGTTGTTTTCACTTATTTTATGAGAAACACGTAGTGTAAGTAATCGTTGCATAAGCAGTAACGCAGGCATAGTTATGCGAAAGTTGACAAGCGAGTTACTTAGTATTGTTAAAGTAAAACCAGTACAAACAAAACCGCATAAGAATTACAGTTATTTAAACTACTGAATTTTTAATACTACCACTAAATGTGCGTACAGCACGATTTATTTGCAAGACATGCTTCGACACATTTGGACCAGCAGTGATATTATCTAAGAAAACAGCCTTGCAACGCTGCCACAATTCGACGCTGTGAGCCACGATGGCTCGTTGGTCGTCCCGGTTGGGAGATCTTCGTGCTGGCTTTGCCGCCGTGGAGAGGCTCCAGCCGGTCATCGTCGAGTGGTAAGGGTGGAAGCACGGGACCCTTTCCTTCCGGCTGACGTAGGTTCTTTCTAGGAACAGCTGCTGCAGGAAATACCTGCACTCGGTCGCTAGGAGGGAATTGAGTCCCGCCTGTCACCACTGCGATTGTAGTGAGGACTCGGCTCAACACACACTGACGATTTGCCCGGTCTGGGCGCCCCAACGTCGGGTCCTCTTTGCAGTCATTGGAGGGGATCTCTCGCTACCGGCCGTCATACTTCCATGCGGCCATGAAAGTATGACGGCCGGAAGGAAGTAGTAACAGATGTTTTACCGCGGTCGCATCCTTCTGCAAAGATGTCATCTCGCAGAAGGAGGCGACGGAGAAGGCCCGGGAAGATGACCTAAACTAGGACCCAATTCGCCACCGGCGAACCGGGTGGCGTAGGTGCAACCCTTTCCGTCCACCGCCGGTGGACGGAACGGGTTTCCTCCTCCATCCGCTATAGTGGCCAGCCGCGAGGAGGCGACGTCTGCGTGAGCCGGACGTCGCCTAAATAGAGAGTTTATCCAAAGGTGGGGCCCGCGCTGTTGCGGGCAGGCACTAGAAAGGATCCGGATGTCTTAATATCAGCTGTTCCCGGACCCCTCCTATCTCAGGCGCGAAGTGGCACACCGTGTGGATTTGGTCAGTTCGATTCCCACACACCGCCCCGCCGTAAACCCCGGTGGAGTGATGGCCCGAAGGGGTTTCCACACGCTTAAAAAAAAGCGCTGTACGCAAGGCTGTCTCCTTAGAAAAAAAAAAGCATCATGTAACCTAGGTATGGTAAAAAAAAAAGCATAATGTAACCTAGGTATGGTAAAAAAAAAAAAGGTTACATTATGCTTGCCTCTAAAAGAGGAGGGGCAAGGCTCTTCGCACGAATTGACGAGACGGCCAAGGTCTACCATCGCTCTTGGGGACTTCGTCTTAGGATATATTGCAATAGATCAATTTGTGTGGATCAACATGTGGTTTAGGCGGTTCCGTCATACCATATCACCGCTATTTTTTACACTGTAAAAACAAGGTTATGTAACGTTATGTATCTTTAAATTATTTAGTTTTTACTCGTCACTTATTAACAATAGATAAAATCAGAAACTTTACTCTTAACAGCTTGCAAGGTGACCAGTCAAACGAGGTTCATAGCTCGTTTGACTGGTCACCTCTCTCTACTATTTAGATTTCCAACATTACAAGGTCAAGGTCATCATCAGAAATAGTTCTTTACTCCGCAATACCAAAAAGGCGTCATACCTCAAAGCAAACCGCTCCATAGTTGTATTTTAAGCGTCTGGAAAGACCCGAATTAAACCTAATCTTTAGATGAAATTTCATGAATCGTCATAAAGATCAGCTGAATCTACTAAACAAATCGCAAAAAATTTAATCAATGTTTATTTTGCCTACAGGTACCGTTTCTATTAACTTTTGCCGCGGTGACGGCACACCAGGACAGCGCTACATACTTCCATGATGCATACCCCTCAGCAGCTTCCACATCTCAGATCAAATTCGCCGAAGAGAACAATTATGATGACACAGGGCCCGCAGCAAAGAAACCGGTATATGCTTATAACACATACAAAACTTTAGAAGAAGCCTTGGTAGCATACTTAGATGATCCTGATACGAAATTGCCAGAGCATGAAAGAGAAAAAGCTGTTCAAAAATTACTAAAATCTACAGCGTACCCTAAGCCGGATATTTTTGAACATTACCCAAAGACTTTCCATTCAGCAGCGTTCAAACAGTCGCAACAAGAATATCACAGTCCAGTTTTCAGTCAATTGGACAGCAAAACCTACTATGGAACAGACAGTCAAACTGGGTTTAACAGAGGTTACTACAACACCAAGCCTGAACCGTTTAAATTTCAGAAGTTTCAGACAGTGAAAGGCAGTCCTTTAAGCTTATCCCATTATAACAGAAAACCAGAATTGAGGAGTTCATTCGGAGATTTTAATTCCTATCCCAAATACTCTTTTTCATATGGAGTTCATGTAAGTATTTTTTTTTTTAGTAAACTAAGTATATCTTTATTATAAAAATTCTGTGCGTGTATGTGAAAAATTTTATCAATTGATTTTGATGAAATTTTTTGTGTGTTCAAGTGATGATTCGAGAATGGTTTAGATTTACAACTTGGTATTACACTACAAAGTGTTTTTTTTTCGTTTTCTTTTTTTTATTATTTAAAAGTTGTCGTTGGTCCTGGAATATTTTATATTAGATCCGGCAGACAGCGCTGTGATTGCGCTGTCGTATACTTAAAAATATTTTCTTTTTCATTAAAACTGTCCAGATTGTTACACTTTTTAAAAAAAGTTTGAAAGTTTCCGATTTAAGACTTATGTACAGGACAACGTCTGTTATGTCTGCCAGTTTATTTATATTTATTTTCTTTGAAGTAATTACTTATTTTTTCTATACAAATAAATGAAATTGAAGTGTCTGTTTGTAATATCAAAATAATGGATGTTTCTCATGCTCACACGGTTATTTGGACGATACCTATGCCTAAAAACTAGTTTTTTTTGTCTGTCTGTCTGTTTGCTCTGGTAATCTTTTAAACGGCGGTATCGGTTTTGATATTTTTTTACTACCAGGTAGCTGTCTATATAAGGAGTAGCTTAAGCTATTTTTTCCTCTCAGAAAAACCCTTTAAAATTTTACCCGGCCATTGAATCGAACCCACTAAGACAGCGCTTTTCAAACTCCACTTCAACAAATTCACGGGTACCAGCTAGTACTTAGTAAAATTTACCTAAATCAACTCATAACTACCAGGGTAATCGAAGCGCCCACCAGGGACTTCCTTTCTAGGGTATACCTGGTTCCCCGGCTATTAGTACCCGAGACGGCGTGCGGTTTTAGTCGGTTCGAGTCCGACATGCCACCGATAGGTGGTATCCGAGGGGATTTCCGCACGGAAAAAAAAAGGGTAATCGAAGTAAAATACCTATACGAATAAAGCTCGAATACAACGAATAATAACATTGAGGAAACACAAATGGACATAAAATTGTTGTTGTAAATCTGTTATTACTAACAATCAAAACCTTTAATCGAAAATGGCATTATTATATTAGAACACAGGTTGACGAATTGAAAATTACAAAACACAGATGGTTGAGATAAGTGTTGTATTAAATTTACTTAATTTTACAATGTATTTCAACATATATTTTGAAAATTGAGTTTAGAGATTATTGTAAAAACAAAAAACCCTAAAATGAAACAAAAAATTAAAAATCCCGAGAAAACAATGTACTACTCGTGAATTCTATGGACATTTTAAACTACGAATGTGGAATAAGTTTCTTTTAAAAAAAGATCAATGTTTTCATGCGACACTTATTTGTCCGTCCGTATGGTGACGGATTAAGAATACAGAGTGTCACCACCCCTATTCATCCCGTGAGTGTCGTAAGAGCCGGCTAAGGGAGAAAACCACGCAGAACCACAGCACTGCAGAGAGAAGGAAAACTTGACACAAACCCTTTTTTTTTTTTTTTTTTAACGTGTGGAAATCCCCTCGGACCGTCACCCCTCCGGGGTTTGCGGCGGGGTGGTGTGTCGGACTCGGACCGACTAAAACCACACGGTGTGCCACTCTGCGCCTGTAACAGGAGGGATCCGGGAACAGCTGTTGTTAAGACATCCGGACCCCTCCTAGCGCCAGCCCGCTCCTGGTGCGGGCTCCGTCTCAATATTTTGTTTTCCTCTCTTTAGGCGACGTCCGGCACACGCGGACGCCGCCCCCTCGCGGCTGGCCAAACTAATGCGGGTGGAGGGGAAACCCACCCCGTCCACCCGCGGCCACACTCAGGGCGGCATGAGGCTGTGATAGGCGGGCCTCCGCCGCCCGGTTCGCCGGCGGCGGATCGGGTCCGAGTGGAGGTCGTCCTCCCGGGCCCTCTCCGCCGCCTCCTTCCGCGAGATTACTACCTCGCAGAAGGTTGCGACCGCGGTAAAACAACAGTCGCTACCGGCCATGGAGCGTACTACGGCCGGTAGCGAGAGATCCACTCCGATGACTGCAGTGAGGGCCCGGCGCTGCGCCGCCCACGCTGGGCAGACCGCCAGCGTGTGCTGGGCAGAGTCCTCACTGCAGTCGCAGTGGTGGCAGGCGGGACTCAGTTCCCTCCTAGCGACCGTGTGCAGGTACTTTCCGAAGCAACCGTGCCCGGAAAGCACCTGCGTCAGCCGGAAGGAAAGGGTCCCGTGCTGCCGCCCTGCCCACTCGGCGATGACCGGCTGGAGAGCCTCCACGGCGGCGAAGCCAGCGCGTGGAGTCTCCAGCCGGAACGACCAACGAGCCATCGTGGCTCGGCGAGCGGCTTCGCGCCACTCGCGCACATCCTCGGGCGGAGGGCGAAATCCGCTCTCCGTCCGGAAGTCAGCCACTCGCCGATAAACTTCGGCGAGCACTTCCGCCTCCAAATCCCACGGGGGAGTTCCGGCCAATGCGCATGCCACCTCCGTCGAAACGGTGCGGTAACCGCGTATGGCTCTGACCGCCATTACCCTCTGAGGGCGCCAGAGGCGTACCCTATTCTGGGCGGTCAGAGCCGCCGCCCACACCGGTGCACCGTACAGTGCCATTGACCGGACAACCCCCGTGTACAGCCGTCTTGTCGCGACGCTGGGTCCACCCATATTGGGCAAAAGTCGCCCTAGGGCAGACGCAGCGCCGACCAGCTTTGGAGCAAGCTGTCGGAAGTGCTCGTCGAAGAGCCACCTCCCGTCGAGGATCAGGCCCAGATATTTCATCTGGGCCCGAACCGGTACGAGGACCGAGTTGACCACGATTGAGGCGCCAGGGGGTGGACCACGACGGGGCCCATGGAATAACAGGGCCTCCGTCTTATCTAGGGCCACCCGTAAGCCCAGCGCCTCAATGCGCCCGACCACCAGGGAGACTCCCCCTGTGGCCAGGCGCGCCGCCTCTTGGAAGTTTGCCCCCCGGGCTGTCACGAGGGTATCGTCTGCGTAACAGATTACACCCAGCCCGGGGGGGAAATCGGCGCGAAGGGCCCAGTCGTACCCTATGTTCCACAAGAGGGGTCCAAGAACAGACCCCTGTGGAACACCGCACGACATGGGCCGACACCTCAGATTACCTTCTCGGTCCTCGTACACGACGGTACGCTTCTCTAAATAGTCTGCCACTAGCCGCCTCAGGTACTTTGGCACCCCATGATAGTGGAGTGCTTCCCTGATGCAGCTGAATGGCAGACTATTGAATGCGTTGGCGATGTCCAATGACACCGCCAACAGCACGCCGCCACAGCTCACGGCCTCTTCGGTCACGGCCCTCAGGCGCAACACGGCGTCGACTGTCGAACGCCCCGCCCGAAAACCAAATTGGGCGTCCGACAGATCGGGGCCCACCTCGCAGAGGTGCCGGACGATGCGGGCAGCAGGGACTGCCTACAGACTCCAAACCCTTGAGATAGACTAAATTTTATAGTGACTTAATATCGTCTGATTTTAATCACTTCGATTCCAACATACCACTTTACCGTGAACCCCGGTGAAGTAGTAGCATCATACGCGTAGGGGCTCCCACATGATAGATATTTGGGTAATTGTAATATTTTCCATCTTATCTGTGAATGGAAGCCCAAAACATCTGTCCTACCTATTCTCGATGCAGAGGACATTTTTGTTTTAACTTCCAAAAGCCGTGTTTATGTTGATACTCAAATTGAAACTTAGTCTTATAAAGAATGATATGGAATTCAACTGATGTTTGGGTTGAATTGAACAGAAGCAGAATGAAATGAATAAAAAGAAAACGCCCTGTTGCCACCCAAAGACGTGTATGTATGTATGTATGTATGTAAAAGAAAACATTTCATCTTGGGAAACTGCTGAACAATTGTGTTTGTTTTAAATATACCTCTATTGTTTTATATTGAGCATGTGTCCCTAGCCTTGTGTTTTGATAACAATACAATGTTTAGTGCCCGTGTATGAGAAAAGAAAACAGCATAGGAAAAATAATGTGTATTTAATACACATAATACGGATGTTGGGGTTACTGCCAGCCGTGTCTGTTATGTCTAGGTTATACTACATACATACACTCACACACACACACACACACACACACATACACTAGGCTTTATCCCGGAAGGGGTCAGGGGTAAATTTTTATGTAATAGGTGCAAGCCTATTGCCGTCATTTCGGCAAGGAATTAGATGGGAGAATCAGACGTTTAATTAAATGAAAGGAAATGAAGGGAAATCAAATGAAATATTTGTTAACATAAAAGTTACAAATAATATAAATACTCTGGATCCTAAACTATGTTAACTGTTAAATAGGAGCCAGTGACTTAACCTTACATATGTCAAAAAAAAACAGAAAGGAAAGTGGTTTAGTTACAAAACAGGGTAAGGTAACTTAATTATAAATTAGACATGTATTATGGAAGGTATAGTGCACGGATGGCGTAGAGGTTTAAGCGGTCGCCACGCCGCTTTCTATTGCGCCGAGTGTTGTGGGTTCAAACCCCACATGGGACAACACTTTGTGTGATCCACAAATTCTTGTTCTGAGTCTGGGTGTTCTTTGTGTCCGTTTCATGTATGTTTGTAAAGTCACCCGCGACACAGGATTAATTCCTAGTGCGGGAGTTGTCTTTTCAATAAAAAAAGCTTTAAAAACAGTTTGTGGCTAGTGTAAAATATAGTGTGTGTGTATATATATGTGTGTGCATGTGTGGTGCGTGCTTTCTAAAAGATCAAAGATTTAGATGAAATGTATTGAAAACTAATTGCCTCCATAAGAGCTTACGTTTAGTCTATTTTGTTTTCAATTTTACCTCATTACTACTTGTAACTTTACAACGACGTATGTAATAATGCTGGTTTTATTCAAAAGTACTTTTACTTAGCCGATGTTATCTCTTTAATTTACTACAAGAGTAAACTAACGTAAACAAACAACCAATTAAAAAAAAAGTATAACCTACTTCATGCGCCTTCATTC